CTTATGCTTCCCAAGTCACTCCAACCTACTCCTCACTTCACTCAGACCAATCATCTCATTCTTCAGACACCCCCCGAATTTCCCCAGAACTAGATAATTTCATTACCCTACAACAACAATCCTATCACCTTGACACCCCAACCATAAACCAAATCTCATCCACAATAGATTCATCCAACCCTCCTACCCCTACACCCTCTTCAATTTATACTGATTCATTAGCACCATCATCCACAACTACTGAATCTTCACTCAGCACTAATAGAGCTTACCGCACTTTTAAAAGGAAGTTCCCCAACCATCCTTTCCCAGCGAAACCAGGAACAGCCCGTGAATATATCAACCATCCACAACACACTAACACAAAAGAATTTTTAGCTATCACCTTACCCTCATTTCCACAATACACCTTAAACAACCCTCATGACACTAACGAGACACGTAACTTTGTAGACGAATACGTTTTAATGCCTACCCTTCCTTGGACCTCATATTATCATTTTACAAATCCCCTTTGCTTACCTTTATCTAACACTCATATCGATATAGAACGAAATAAGGACATGCTATATCGACTCACTACACCACTAACACCTAGACAATTTACTTACATTGGATACAAAAAATCACTAAAAACACACACTGCACCCCGAGCTAATGAATATACACTAGAATATTACGATCATAACATCATCAGAACTAACCAAGATCAATTCTTAGACGACGATCGCTTCGCTAACCCACAAATCACCGAGAAATTTTTCATTAAAACACCATATGTATTTACACTAAATATCTTCGATCGCAAGTTTGACCACATTATCTCAGAAGCACTAACAGACACGCAAGCCTACGAAAGTTTTAAAGAACGCTTCCAAATATTTTCACTAACCTTTCATTTCCTTGCACCACATGAAAGAGATTTGCACTGCTCACACGATATTATGTTGCGCACTAAACAAACACACACATATACTTATTATCGTTTCATCCAAAATCACTTTGACCTACACACTCCCTCCAGACAACCACACCATCGGTTTCAATTCATCAATTCCAAATACACCTCACCATTCTTTCTTAACTTCACATATTGCATTAAAGATACTAACCTTCATGGTATTCTTCGAAATTATGATCCCATAACCCAAATGTAGATCTTTTGTCCCATCACCAAGACCTTCAACGCAGAAGAATCCCGACCCTTCCTCATCCCACACGAGTTTTTACAACCTATAGAAATCCCCATTTTAGAATTCATCCATAACACTAAATTCAACCACAAATTATATAATCTAATCCAAAACACACCTTATGAATATGCAGTTGGCACTGAAGAACTAACCACCATTAAGGCACTTCAATTGCTTTGGCCACTGCTTCAAACTAAAAATATCATCCGCATCTTAGCCAAACTACTAACAACTTCAGATCTCATCCACGACATTTTCCCCCACGGTTTCTTCCCCGACGACTAACAGGTAAGTATGAATTATACATATTACTAATTAATTCAAATATTAGAAACTCACCATTCTTTATCCATGTTTTCTTCAGAATTTTAGCCTTCATCCTAGATCATCTGAAAAATTCACAAAAGAAAAATAAAAAATAGCAAACTTCTTCAAAACTGTTTAAAACCCTATTAAATTTTTGCACCAACAATTAAATAAATATAATACCAATGCAGTAAATTAATTTATAAATTTTTCCCCCACAAGCAGTAAATCTAATAATGATGAAAATTTGTAACTTAATTTCCCCCAACAACTAGCAGTAAAATTAAAATTCTATGTAGTAAATTCATAAGAAGCAAATGCAGTACTAACCTTTTGATATTTTCATTCACTCGCATAAGAATTCTATCCAAACTCGCACAGCTCGCCCACGAAGAATTGTTTAAAATAATGAATTTCAGTTCCAAGCTTTCACACTCGATAACTCTAACACAAGATAACACGTTTCAAACTTTCCTTTAACCCGGTTGGAAAGGAATTATATACTAAACAAAACTAACCAATGCAGCTTACTAAACACCACAACACATAGCATAACAGCATGACTAAGAAAAGCAAACCAACGGTACCCAAACCGGATTAACCCAGTTTAAAACTGGATAATTTATTCTTTTGAAGACTATTATAAAGTCTAAGAAAGAAATAATAAAACACAAAAAAGTCGAAAGACAAACCCATACCACAAACAATTTGATTTTTGAAAAAAGGACACAACCAACAAAACATAAGAAAAACCACAACAAACCCAAGATAAAACGTTGTCACATAACAGGACCTCTCACAAAAACCGCATGCAATCATACTCCCACTCCTGGCCTAACCCACCAGGAAGGACGTCCTGAGCATGCTCTATAGCCGGCCTAACCCACCGTGCTACATCCACGCTTTGTGACCGCACTCCTTTTTTTAATAAGAGCTACTCAAGGGTGAGTAACTCTTCAAAATAACTGAACTAAAACAAAAAGCTTTTGTGAAAACAACTAACTAAAATCATAATTAAAAAATATTAAACTAATAAAAGTTTTATAAAATGTAAATTACATTATGCAATACATAGATCAGAATACAACATCAAGGACGAACATCCAAAGACAAAACGACCCTACTACACTCGAGAAAGAACGGCCAACTACAATCAATATGCCGCCCACAATCACAACTCAAAGGATTTAGAGTACGACTTGACTTCGCAGAAAAGGACTTCATTGAACTAGACCAATGACCACCTCGATGTTCAAGTATACGTACAGATCCGAGTAACCAGGCATCCCCTCCACGCACAATCTCCACGCCATTCCCAGACAAGGTCAAACACAAAGAAGTTCTCACCAATGAAACAGAAAAACCTGACATAGCCAACCATTCTGAAATCAGATTTGAGTTTGTTGCGAAAACCCAGTCGTTGTCTTGAGAAGACACAACGATTGAATCTGGGACTTCTCTAATAAGAAAACCCAGAAGAAATAAGATGTTCGCCAAATACCAACGTCCATCATCCATCTTTCGAATTGCAGAAAAACTATTCTAAAAAACTCTGTAAAACCCGGATGGGTGGAACCTGATCTAAACTACATTTTATGATTGGATAAATTAGATATTTTACCAATGTAAAGTATTTAATATTAACCAATCATGATCCATCTAACTAACAATCCACTTATTTGTAAGTGCTGAAATTACTTGTGATTTCAGCACCAGAGAGAATTGAATTTAACTTAGAAATTAGTTGAACTCTCCCGAGTACTTCAGCAGCCGCAATAAACCAGTATACCCTAGATCTATTGAGCCTAGCAGAGACTAGTTAAACAACCTGAGACTAGATAGTATAAGAGTAAGATTAGGATCGGTATTAGACTAAGAAGTTGCACGAATATATCCGGCCGAAAATAAGATAGCGTGACGAGCAGACGGTGTACCCTATCCGAAATTACTCTATGAGTTATACCCATCGGTCCTAACTCAAAAGGTTTTGTTTGATTTAAATCGAAGGTGGGAAAAACCAAATTTTCTTTTTTAGTAGCGTGTTTTTGCCGCCAATTATGCGCTAATTATACGCAAACCTTTAGCCGTCCGTTTTCCAGTTTACCTTCTGCTTGCATCGAATGAACTTTTCTCACTCTCTCTAAATTAAAACTGAAAGAAATTTGATCAACTTTCCACAATACCGTTAATTCCAAAAAATGTTATACCACTTTTTGGTTTTTTCTAAGATAGTGGACAGTTTGTGGAAAAATCAGATTTGCGATTTGCTTGATTTTATTTAATTCGGATGTTTATGCAACCCTACTTGCGATATGCAAGGGTGTTGCAATCGATGTACTGGACTTTTTTTCCCGGAAACATTATTTTTTACAAGATTTCGCAGATGTTTCATCTTGCTTCATAATAAATTCAAAATCAATAAATAATCATCGTAGCTCATCTGCTTGAAACGACAAAGGCTCGGGGTTCGAATTCGGCCGGAAACTGATTTTTGTTAAACCAGAAATTTTCTATTTTTTGGGCTATTGTTTGTCTGTTTATTTTTTGTCGGCTTGCCTTTCTTCTAAGCCTTGAATGCGATTTCTAAAGCCTCATTGGTCAAAATTTTTTCGTGGAATTTTAGTTTAACTGTTTCAATTTTTTTTGCTGCGGTTATCAATTCGTAACATAAACTGATTTTTGTAACCAAATTATCCAACAAAATCACTTCTCATTGTTCTCAAATCAACTTTTTCGTAAATCTGCTACGACTGTAGTAAATTTGCCAGCACCAGACATATTTTAGCATGCTGTTATTCCAAATACTGCTAATACTCGTTCATTTCAATATTTGGTTTTTAATGTTGGTATTGAATTATTTTTTTAAGTTTTTTTTGTTTTTTTCTGCTTAAAAATTTTTTTCTTTCGGTTTATACATAATTGGCATGGTGACATCATCATCAGATTGCATCGGTTGATCAGCAAACGATTTTACTCGAGGTCTTTTGAATTGATAGTTAGATATTTTTCGAAAGTTTTTAAGTTAACATTTCTTAAGTTTTTATGAAAATATTTATTTTTGGCTCAACAGGTGTCTGCTCAAAAAGTGTCGACTCTGTCACCGCTTTGTTGCGATACAACTTTAACTTTCAATTGTCTTGTTTGTCATTTTTTGAAAAAGTGAACTTTTTCAAGACAAAGATATGAAAATTTTTGGTAGATCTAAGTTTTGTCGACATTTTTGTGTTTTCGTCTCAGTTTCGCGCTGCTAGTTTGCCATGCTATCTTTATGTTGTATCGCGAGTGGTGCGAAGCTCTGTTTCGACCCTATGTTAAAAAATGCTTCACAAAACAGATATCTAAGCATTTTTACTGAAGGGAATCTTGAAGTTGTAACTTAAAGTGATTCTTGAACGCGTAAGGTTAATCGATACTTGAGTTAATTTGAATCAGGTTCTTGAGTTCTTGGTTTTCTTTCGAAATTCTTGGTTTTACTTCAAAATATCCCGATTGATATTTTAGATGTGGCTGGGGAATATCGCCGAGAGGAGCTGGTTATACGTTCGGACAAGACATCAGCGAGACTTTCAACCACACGAATGGACTCACATTGATTGCAAGGGCTCACCAGCTGGTAATGGAGGGCTATAATTGGTGCGTAAATTTCCATTTCAACCCATCTTTTGTAATTAACTTTAGCCTTCAGTTTTTTCGAGTAATTGTCCAATTTCTTCTTACACAAGCAAGCTTGCGAGCGTTTTTTTAAAAATATTAATGGTCCTACTTTTGAATCAATTCGCATTAATGAGTTCAGCTTTGCTTCAGTTATAATACAAGTCTATCTTCAGAGTTCTACTTTTTGCTTTCCTATCAACTTATATATACGACTACAATGCTGATGTAATTTATGCGGAAAAAAAAACGAACAACACTTGAAATTTTCAACGCGTGTTTCTCAAATTGGGTTAAGATTAGGCAAAATAATGAAGAGCGCAGAAGTTGCTTAAAAATTTACCAGAATTAATTTGGTGCAATTCAAAACCAAAATTTTACCCCAAAAATGGGTCATTTTGGCTTTTTTAGTTAATTAAGAATTGCGCTGAAACTATCAAATTATTGATGAGAAATTTATATGAAAAGAAGCCTCTACACAGCGTAAGAAAGTTATAGCAGGGCAAAGACTTCAAAAATTTGTATAGGTCAATTTTACCAAAAAGGCCATTTTTACTGTAAAAACTCAAAATCTTTTGCTTAAAAACAACTTTCAAAGTTTCTGCGCAAAATTTTGTTGGGTTGTGTAAGAGGCTTTGACATAAGTTTATCATCAATTATTTTGGTAGTTTCAGCATATTTCTTGATTAACTAAGAAAAGCCAGACTGACCCATTTTTGGGGAAAGTTTTAGTTGTGAATTTCGGGAAAAAAATGCAACATATTAATTCTGGTGAAATTCAACTTAAAACTTGGTCACTTCATTTTGATCTAATCTTAACCCAATTTCAGAAAAATGTGTTTGAAATTTCAAATGTTGTTCGTTGTATCCGGCTAATTTAAATCAGCATTGTATTGACCTCGCTAAAGCTCAAAGGATTGCCAAGTACGGTCGTCAAACAATCCGAAAGCAGGAAATTTATACTTCTCAAAAAAAATCAGAAATCAATTACAGCCGGTTGTTGTGCAAGTAGCACAGAAGGTTCCGACCTTAGATAATTCTGCAAAAAATATATATGTTTTAATTTTTCGATTGTAGTTTCGTGCGTGAAGAAATAACTACCGATGGCTTTATCAACGAACAATAAAAAAAAGTTTCACCTTGAATCTTATTAAGATGAAGATTGATTCTTTGCTCTTAATTTGTAGACCGGTTTTTAAAAGATTAAATATTGATCTCATCACGACTGAAATGTTTTGAAATGATATGAAATCGAACTGAACCTATCTGATAATTATTTGACTATCTGACTTTTTTTCCCGCAAGCAACTTTTCCTGTCTTTTTTGCTCTTTTTACTTGCTTTATCATGGAACAATGACAAGTTCCAGGATCGTTTGCACTAGCCTTGAGGTAGTTTAGTCGCTTTTGCCACCTAAGTTCGGGTTCGAGTCCCGGCCGGACCTCGTTTTTTTAGTACGTATGAAAAAGAATGTCTTTCAGGCAGAAAATGAATTGTCGAAATTGTTTTTTTTTTCTGCGCATCATGGATTTTTTTTGCTGCTAGCAGTTTTCATTATAGTTTAAAAAGTTGTTCATGGTAGTTTCAAGGGAACAAAAAACTTTTTTTTATATAAAAATCAGTTCTTCGGCTCCGTTGTTAATTTAATAGCATGCTTTGCTTGGATTGTTTGCACAGACTGAATTTTTAAGGAGATACACGAGAGTTTGGTAGACTTATTTTTTCAACATTCAACATATTTTGTTATGTACTTCCTATGCTTTTTTATGGTTGCGCTGTATAACAAGTGATGCGAAATCAACTTTGCCTCTGTATTTTTTTCATTTGAAGAAAAATGTCAAATACTCCTAATTTGGTAAAATATCGATTTTGACTAAGTTCTAGGCTTTCTTCCATAGCTTCTTGTCGCACCATGAACAAAAATGACACAATTTGAGCGAAAATTGTTTTTGGAAGTCACTGAACGTAATGAAGATTTTTGTATAGGTCTTAAATGGTTTTTTGTTTGCTCGCTGTTGTGGATAAAATCAAATTTATTTACTCTCAAATATTATTGTTTGATTTTGATTTTTTCAAAATTTTAGTTCATTTCCTTTGTTAAAAGGAATGCGAACTCTACCACTGAACACCAAAATTGAAAAGTTCACAAAAAAGGTGATCGATTTCTAATTTTGAAAGTGGATTCTAAAGTTGATCCAGTTTTTTTAATTCAGAAAAGTTTTATCAGAAAAGTGTCTGTCATAGATCGTTTTTTCTTAAATTGAAAGGGCTTCAAGGGCATCTATTTTTGGAAATTCGAAATTTGAATCTTTTATTTAAAAAAGCCAGTATTTTTTCTGTTTCTTTGCATTTTTTGATACTTTTCCAACTGTCTCTTGGCTATATATTCTTCATGGTGGAACCAGTCTCCTTGGTTGGAATTTCTTAACAGCAGGCGCCATTTCATCTCTTCTAAAGGTATTTTTTTTAATTTTCGAGGCTTTATTTTTCCCACGAAAGCGGATCCAAATTCTAAAAGAGAGAAAAGTTCGGCCCATTTCTGTTGATTGTTTCTTGAATTTCTGACAAATTTTTATGTCAGTTTTCCTATAAGCAGAAACGGCAGACTTAAAGTTTTCGAATATTATTTCGGGTTTGTCGGTAAGTAAAAGTATAAAATCGACTTCCTGAAATTTTCCAAAGCGCGCTGAAAAAAGTGAAATGAGCATCCGCAAAGTGAAATGAGCATCCGCAATGATTTATTGTGAATTTTTTGGCTTACAGGTATTTTTTTGGATTGCATATGGGATACCCGTGTAATTTTTGGCTACAATTTTTTCTGACACAAAGTAAACTACAAAATTTTTAGGTGCCACTGATTGTACTGAAGTGTTTTTTTTTCAGTTTTTTCTTTTCGTGGGTTGTTTTCAAATGCTTTCGCTGAAAAGAAGGCCAAAAAGTCAGTTCTCAGTTACAGAACTGCAAAATCACGAAAACATTTCAGTGATTTTCAGTTACAGAAATGGGTTTGAATTGGCTGCGAATTGAGTCACAGCAGAGTAAAAAAAAGTTACATTTTAGCCAATTTATCTTGTTGGGTTAATTAATTAAAAATTGAATTTCTTGATTGTGTTATTTTTTCTGTGTCCTGGTTCATTGACTCTTTTTCATTTTTGTTGACTGCATTTTTTCAATAAAACTTTTTCTCACAAATCTGCAAGCAACACACGCAGTTTCTGACCCATGCAAGTGCTGGCGTTTGGTTACATAACATGGTTCACATTACGTACTACAATTTTTTTTGATCAAATTTTAGTTTAAAATAATGTTGCGTTTTAATTTTGTGTTAAAGATTCGATGAACGTATAGGTCTTGATGTTTTTTTTTTCGTTTTTTTTTTTTGAGGAAAAGTCCTAAAATTTGTTCAAGCTCAAATTTATTTTTCGCGGCTTGACTTTTGAATTTTGTTCAAGTTCAGTTCATTTCTTCGAAAAACTTGATCGACTTCTAATTTCGCAAACAGAACTGTCTGATGGCTATAATCGATGTTTTGTCAATCATATAAGATTCTTGTAATTCAAAGAGCTTAAACTTGATATTTTCTTCGAAATTCGAAATTTGAATCTTTTATTTAAAAAAGCCAGTATTTTTTCTGTTTCTTTGCATTTTTTGATACTTTTCCAACTGTCTCTTGGCTATATATTCTTCATGGTGGAACCAGTCTCCTTGGTTGGATTTTCTTAACAGCAGGCGCCATTTCATCTCTTCTAAAGGTATTTTTTTTAATTTTCGAGGCTTTATTTTTCCCACGAAAGCGGATCCAAATTCTAAAAGAGAGAAAAGTTCGACCCATTTCTGTTGATTGTTTCTTGAATTTCTGACAAATTTTTATGTCAGTTTTCCTATAAGCAGAAACGGCAGACTTAAAGTTTTCGAATATTATTTCGGGTTTGTCGGTAAGTAGAAGTATAAAATCGACTTCCTGAAATTTTCCAAAGCGCGCTGAAAAAAGTGAAATGAGCATCCGCAAAGTGAAATGAGCATCCGCAATGGTTTATTGTGAATTTTTTGGCTTACAGGTATTTTTTTGGGTTGCATGTGGGATACCCGTGTAATTTTTGGCTACAATTTTTTCTGACACAAAGTAAACTACAAAATTTTTAGGTGCCACTGATTGTACTGAAGTGTTTTTTTTTCAGTTTTTTCTTTTCGTGGGTTGTTTTCAAATGCTTTCGCTGAAAAGAAGGCCAAAAAGTCAGTTTTCAGTAACATAACTGCAAAATCACGAAAAAATTTCAGTGACTTTCAGTTACAGAAATGGGTTTGAATTGGCTGCGAATTGAGTCACAGCAGAGTAAAAAAAGTTACATTTTAGCCAATTTATCTTGTTGGGTTAATTAATTAAAAATTGAATTTCTTGATTGTGTTATTTTTTCTGTGTCCTGGTTCATTGACTCTTTTTCATTTTTGTTGACTGCATTTTTTCAATAAAACTTTTTCTCACAAATCTGCAAGCAACACACGCAGTTTCTGACCCATGCAAGTGCTGGCGTTTGGTTATATAACATGGTTCACATTACGTACTACAATTTTTTTTGATCAAAACTTAGTTTAAAATAATGTTGCCTTTTAATTTTGTGTTAAAGATTCGATGAACGTATAGGTCTTGATGTTTTTTTTTTCGTTTTTTTTTTTGAGGAAAAGTCCTAAAATTTGTTCAAGCTCGAATTTATTTTTCGCGGCTTGACTTTTGAATTTTGTTCAAGTTCAGTTCATTTCTTCGAAGAACTTGATCGACTTCTAGTTTCGCAAACAGAACTGTATGTTGGCTATATTAGATTTTTTGTCAGTCATATAAGATTCTTGTAATTCAAAGAGTTTTAACCTGATTTTTTCGAAATTCGAAAAATCAAATTTGTTCGAAAATAGTTCAATCTTTTTTTTTGGTTTTTGAGTCCATTGATACTTTTCCAATTGTCTGTTTTGTTATTTTATTCAGCCTATTGTTAAGTTTGATATGCATTAATGCTCCGGTACTTTTTGCTAAGTTATAGGCGTTTGGAAATTGCAAATTTGGGATAAATGGGAGCTATTTATCAGTTTTCTATTAACGCGTAGCGTGACCCCTTGTTTAATCTGACTCAGAAATCATTACAGATTTAGTTATTGAAATTTACTTGGTCTTATTATACCAGGTGTAAAGTGTTAGACGAAACTTACAGTTTTGTACATCACATGTTGCTGGCGATTAAAAGAAATTGGGATTAAAAAAATGGGGAAATTTTTGTTTGCGAAAGACAATTTCGACTGGGTCATCAATTATCCAACTGCCTGTTGACTGTTTTTTTGTGCAAAAATGTAAAATATCCAATAGTCACTAAGAGGTACGGTTCAAATCTTCCCAAAAAATGATTTCTCTAAGGAGAACAAAAAGGTTTTTTTTTTATGAAAGTTCAAAGAGCTTAGAACTATTATTTTTTTGTTGATCATGTTACGTGCTACTTGTAGGTGTCATGAGCGGAACGTGGTGACGATATTCAGTGCGCCTAATTACTGCTACAGATGTGGGAACCAAGCGGCTATAATGGAGTTGGACGACAGTCTCAAGTACTCCTTCCTCCAGTTCGACCCCGCGCCCAGGAGAGGAGAGCCACACGTCACCAGGCGAACACCCGACTACTTCCTCTAGACTTCGCATTCGATAGCACACTCACCTCAATCAACATCTCCGTCTCCTCTGATACCACCAGAAATCCTCCTCGAACAACCCCGAATGCTAAGGCCACCAACCACTGACATAAGCGACAAGCAGCAGCACCAACGCCAAATAGATCTCTTTGAAGTAGTCAGTGGCAGAAAACTAAAGAGATAAAGATTACCAATAAAGAATGAACTTTGAAATTGTTAATGTCTGGCTCAAAATCCATCTTAAAAGCCAAACTGACCGGATGAATTTGAACTACTTGCAAATTGGCGTTTGCCGTTTTGCTTGTTGACCCACGCCTTTGGACGATCAGTTTTTGTTGTAAAACAATATAACGCGGAATACTGAGCTGATTGAAATAAAATATAAAGTTTTATTTTTGTAATAAAGGTGTCAACTGTTAGAATACTTTTTGCTTAGCAAATATTTTACCAAAACTTCAAATAAAATACATGTCTAATTTAACTTCCTAATAGCAGTTGACACTTCCATTCAAAGAATTCGTGTTTCAGACAAAAATTTCGCCACAAGGATCTATTCAAGCCACGATTTAATACGTTAATGACTCTGAGCTTATTCTCGAAGTCTCAAAAAACTCTCGGTGAAAAAAAACGCAACTGAATTTGCGTCATACCAGCAACAATTTTAAGCTAATGAAGTTCGAAAATGTAATTATTTTCATTAAATTAAAATAACCAATTCATACTTGATATCTTTGCTCTAATTTGGTTAAAGTACCTTGTTATTCACAAAATACCTTGTTTTCACAAAAAAGATCTGATGTGCATTTTCGTTGTTAATAACTTTCACCAAAGGATCTGTTGCAAATTACTTAAATTTTGAATAATGATCTCTATTACCCTCATCGCAACAGACATTTGATTTTACCCAAAATGCTCAAAACTTGATACTCAATTTCGATGATCTCATTGGTAGCTAGAAGGTGGTTTTGTTTCTATAATCAAGTTTGAGCATCAGTTATTGTTCAATTTTGAGACATCTTTTTCTTTGTGTTTTTGTGGTACATGAATGAATGATGAATAAATTTGTTTCGATTAATTCCTGCAGCACAAGCGAACTTCTCGGCTCGGCATTTCGAAGTGAAGCAAATAGTCAGTTGCCGATGCAGCAGCTCGTATGTAAAGTAGATATACTTCGATCATCTGAATTGAATTTTCGGTAATTTTTCTCAAATAGATTCGATTCAGGTCCTCACATATCATCATTATTCTGTGTGATGAATGAGAAGGTTGTGGGCTCTATGCAGGGCTCATCCTATCGTTTTTTGATACCTTATGAAGAAAGTGTACTTTAATTTCATTCAATTTTGAATTGAAGAGAATGAACAAAGGGAAATAACTTTTATTTAGGTCTTGTGATTTTTGCTGGAAATTGTTTGTTCGCATATCTATTGTATATTTAAATGCTGGCTTTACTATCTCGCCGCGTTTAAGCTTATTCAACGGGTAATTTTTGCATGTTTAACGAAATAATTTTTTAACGCTTGAGCTATAATCGTAACGCTTAAGCTGTCAGGGTTCTCACAAGAGTTGCGAATTTGGCCTACAATTATGAATGCTCAATTCCTTGAAATTCCCAAGCATGTAGTTGGGTGTTGTCAGAGTTCTTTGAGGATTGCGAATCTTGCCTCCAAATATGACTGCTCAAATCCTTGTAGTTTTCGAGATATGACGTGTTTTATGATTTCTTTTAATTTTTAGAAAACTTACATTTTAAAAAATTCAGAAGATTTGAAATTACCAATCTTGTAGTTGGGTACTGTGAGGGTACTCTCAGGAGTTCCAAGTTGCAAATCGTGCGACCAACTGCTATTGCTCAATTGCTCTTAGTTTCTGAGATGTGACGTTTGTCTTTTTTTAATATTTAAAGAAATTAGATTTAAAAAAAAATTATATTAAAAAAAAGATATAAAAAAGTTCCCATCTTTATAGTGAGGGTCAGTCAGGGTACTCCCATTTGCAAACTTTTTTGAAAACTTAAATTTGATGTTTTTCAAAATTTGAATTTCCCAACGCCATAGTTGGGTACTCTGAAAGAAATCTTAGGAGCTGCAAATCTTGCTTCCAAATGCGTCTGCTCAATTGCTGTTAGTTTCCGAAATGTGACATTAATTTAAAGGTTTTCAAAGAGCCTAGATATAGAAATTTTCATAAATTAATGGTTTTTCAAAATATGAATAAAAAATTTTTACCATTTTTGAAATTACCAACCCTGTAATTGGGTACTGTCAGAGTACGCTCAAAGGATGCAGATCTTATTTCCAATTTATACGGTTTTTAATGAGTGTTAAAAATTGGAAGCACCGGAGGTGCGTTACATGCTAGTCCAATTTGAAGATCTTTTAGTTCTTTTGAAATTCTTGAGAAGTTCTTAAACAAACTGGCTGGCAAACTAAGCTCTCACAAAAATGAAATGACACTAAAAGTCAACTTATAGCTTCAAAAATCTTTGATATTTTACGAGCTTCGAGCGCAGTAAGATAGTTACCAGTAAGAAAATAATTTTCTGTTCATCCAGTCGCTCAAATGACTAATTTTTGCTGTATTTATGCTGTAATTATACTTGAAAATTACTTTGTGTTTTCGGTACTCCAGCGCAGCTCTTCAGTTTTTGTATTTTTTGATAAAAATGGTTCCATTTTAGGAAATCGATCAACCCGTACTTGAAATTCCCTTGATGAAAACCAATCTATTTTTAAAACTGAAAGCTTAAGGCAATCTTCACGCCACTGCACTTTGTGTTGGCTCGTCGAGGGTGAAATAGCCCCAATTTGACAAAACAAAACTCAAGCAAATCAATTTCAGCATGAAAAGAAACTGAAATATCGTTCTATATGTTTATTAGCCTCCATGAAATTGTTTGTAACAGGTTCTTAGAGCTTTGAAATTGCCTTTGCCCCTCCTGCTGCAGAAAAAAGTGATATTGCTTCGTTTGAAGAGCGAAAAGAAAAGTTTATTCGTGTGCTCTGGATGGGGACTTAGAAAGTTCCCTTTTTTATAGCTCAAGTTTGCTACGACAATTTTTTTTCGGCTATGAGCTTAAACACAATTAATCTTTGTTCATTGACCGCTGCGCAAATTTTGTGTTTCGATGATAATTTACTCCTAGCAATTGTCTTTTTCGCTACTTTTTTCTCATATTAAACTTTGATCCAGTCGAATGTACGAAAATTTTGACAGATCGGGTTTTTTCTAGACATTTCTCAAACATTTTTTTTGACGCAGTGGTTTCTGTTTCTTTTTTAGTCGGCTAGCTTGCCTTGGTAGGTTTGTGACGGATTGCAAGTGGTATGAAGCTCAGCTTTGTATCTGCATTGATTTATGCAATTGATTTGTTATCAACGTAAAATTACAACTAGATAAAACGCGATGTTTCGGAATAACGAAGTAAGTTTGAGTTCTTTTGAGGCTGTGTTTTGATCTTTTATATCCGTTTATAGCATCCTTTAAAATCAATTTGAAGGCTGCCTTTCTGTCTTTTTATCATTCGATTTATTCTCTCCAAACCTTTCTTCGAGAAAGAAAATCAATCCTTTGAAAATAATAGTCTTGGAAATTGCAGATCATTGTTTCTTTTAATTCTACGTTTATCACTTCCGCGTAAAACAAAATGAATTTCTAACCTTGGCATACATAGAGATATTGGTTGCAACACTTAGATAAGTCACAGCGAATTTGAGAAAATGCAATTTAAATGTATGTCAGCTGCTAAAGTCTATGTAGATGATTTCAAATGCAGAGTGATATTACAGTGGCCAGCTCAAAAATGTTGCGAGAGTAGAAGAACTTTTTGTAAATGCCAAAATTGATGTTTTTAAAAAATTTTGAACGAAAAATTCCCATTTTTCAGCGCGCGTTTCCCTCTCAAATTTCAAAATATTAGAGCTATTCGAGCCCAAAAAATATCCCCCATCGCCGCGATACGGTGCGGGCTAGCATTCACTTATTTCAAAGCAACTTGTCTGCAACAACTCTTCAAATGATGCTGAAAAAGTGAAAGGAACTAAATGCAGTTTCAATCATTTAGAACTTTTAAATTTAAGTCACATAATTTTCTGGAGAATGTCAAATGACATAATTTTAAATGGAGTGCTAGAATTTTTCTATGTTATAATTTCAAATTACCTCAATAATTCAACGCATTTCGTGTAGAGATTTTACCCCTGTTTGAGACGCCAAAGGAATGGAGTGGAGTTCGAGCCCGCCAGGGACCTTATTTCAAATTAGAATTTTTCTGGTAAGGTCTGTTTTTTTTAATTGTTCTCGACTTAGTGCACTTAACACGGACTGTTTTCGAAAGTTTTGCTTAATTCTAACTTTTCGAATACCAGTCTCTAAATTATCAATGGCGGTGATAAATGGGTTACAAGATTTTTTGTTGTTATATTTTTACATCTGCGACAAGCAAAAGTATTGCAGGTGGGTACTAGACTTTTTTTGTAACAACTTTGATCACAGAATCGTCGAAATAAGATATGGTAAATATAGGTTCAGTCCATAACGAATTGAAATTTCTTTGCCTCTCCGGCACACTTGGTCTGGAGGTAAGGAATACGCCAGGAATGTCAGATCCTGGGTTCGAACCTGACAGGCCTTTTTTGAAAGTTGAATAATCCGTTTCAAAAAAATATGTCGGCTAATTATTTATCTGCTTATGTTTTGTCGGCTTAGTTTTGTCGGATTGCAAATAGTTAAAGAATCGATAGTTCTAGTTTTTCTTGATAACAATTTTTTCTTTTCCTTTTTTGGCTCGGATTAGGTTTCGGATTATATTATATCGGCTTAATGGCCACTTTTTGTGGCTCATAGGTTTCGGATTATATTATATCGGCTTAATGGCCACTTTTTGTGTCTCATATTTTGTATGTGATGGTGTATGTTTTTAGGGCCACAATAACTAAATATATTTTAGTAGTCCTAATTTTTTGGAATTTTTTGCGGCTTTGGTGTTTTTTGTCATTTTTTTTTCAGCTTAATAAGTTTCCAGCTTATCGTACATCGGCTAAGTGGCCTCATATTGTTTCATTTGAAGAGCAAATAAAATTTTGAGGGCGAGTGTGACCTCCAAACTTTTTTAAAATTGTTGTTTTTTTTTGACCTTAATAAGTTTTCGATTTTTCTTTCATCGGCTTAGTGGCCTCACATTGTTTCATTTGAAGACCAAATAAAATTTTGAGGGCGAGTGGGACCTCCAAACTTTTTAAAAATCTTTGTTGTTTTTTGTTATTTTTTTGAGCTTAATAAGTTTTCGATTTTTCTTTTTTTCATCGGCTTAGTGGCCTCACATTGTTTCATTTGAAGACCAAATAAAATTTTGAGGGCGAGTGGGATCTCGAAACTTTTTTAAAAATCTGAACCTTGTTGGTTTTTTTCAGCCTAAAGGGTTTCTGCTAATGCATTTTTAGCTTTGTTATTGCTTGAAAAAATTTTTCCGCTGTTAATTTTACATTCTGTTGTCTTGACCCGTTTTTTGTATCAAAATCAGACTTTTTTTGATAGATCAAGTTTTGTTTTTTGTAAATTTATTTCCGATTTAGAGGCTTTCTTGTTACGTATCGCAATAAATTATGTTTAAAATTTTACTTTTAAGACAATTATTAACCTATTAATCAATCTGTATTTAATTAGTGTCCTTAGTGCCCTGATGGCGCAGAGAATGTAGATACTTTATAGATCTCTCTTCCGACATCGGTAGAAATTTCGAGAGCCAATCAGACCTAACAAATATTTTTTGCTTAATCTTTTTAGTTCATTTTTTGTCTCCACGGTAGTAGACCTTGTTTTCTAGATGCGGTAGTTCTTAAGGCGCTCATCGGAAGTCAAGCCACCAAAAGAAGAAAAACCGCGAAAAAATGAAAAAATTTAAGTAAGAGGTTTAAAGATCGAATCGTAGAGGCGAGAAAGACCCAACTGAATCCATTAGGTTGATACTTTTTTTCAAATGAGCTCATTGACAGTGTATGATTTACTCTAGAGAATGTAATTTTGATTACGTCTCAAATGGTGTAATTCCCAAATTTCATAAAATTTAAAATTCCCAAATGTCATTTTTGTAAGCTGCAAATAATCCCAAATCCTGAATTTTTGACAAAAAAGCTTTGGATAAACAAAAATATTATCTCCGAACTCTAACTGATGGAACATCTGTTTGCCTTGCAGCCTGAAACACAAGACTTACAAATTTGAGGAAGTTATGATAGATTTATATCTCAAAGGTGTCTCATTTTCAAGAAGTCGTTTTCCTTCTTTTCGGCTGGAAGTAGAAGATGTGTTTTTATAGAACTTAGTTGATAATTTTTACATGCTTTGAATTGATTTCCGGTACGCATATTCACACTGCATGGGCTCCTGCAATATCAAAAGATTTCGGTTCGGCGGAAAAGAAACAGCCTGTTTTTGCTGTACGGGTTGTGTCTCACATTTTATCCAAGCTCGAAATCGAAAATAACTACTGAGTTGCAGGTCCAGTCTTTGAAGTTTTCTTGATAATATTTCTAGTATTCGGCGATATGTTCTGTCATTTTAATTTGAAGCAGTCATTAAACAAATGAAGTTGTTAATTCTCCTCAAAATACTCCGAAAAAAAATTTTTAACAAAAATTTTTGGTGAAGATTTAAAAGTTCGATCAGAAAGAAATATTCTGCACTGTGAAAAAGCTTTCGGCACTTTTTCCTTTTCCCCCCACCTCACGCCAGTTTCAACTTATTAGTGTAACGAGTGGTTTTACGAGGTTGAGTATGAAGACCAAATATGTTTGCCGTGGAATTATTAGTCTGTATGTAAATTTTCATAACAATCGGACAATGTGGTCAATACATATACATGTAAAAATTTGCTGGTGGGAGGGGGGGAGGGGAGGAAAAAGAGCCACGCTTTCAATTGTTAGACTCTAGAAAAAATGTCAATACCGTACTCTCTGCTGATTTTCAAAAAAATTGTTTTTCCCTGCTTTGTTTCTACTCATTCATCTCGACTTCCGTAACTTTGGGCAACTGACTCCAGTAGATTTTGAGAATTTTCCGAAAGAATTTTAGTTTTTAAAATGAGATCTTCATAGCAATTATAGTCAGACATTTGAAGTTGGATGAATTAACAAAGTATCCATTTCAAATCAATCTGGAGCGGCAATAAATTTCAGTGTAACGCCAAAAAACATTTTCGGCTGTAACTTCTTTTTGTTAAAAAAAAAGTATCCGTCATACTACAAATTCCAACCCTGTTCCAGTTTTTTCAATTTGGCTCGTTTTATAAAATCTGATACTTGTTTGAACCAAAAATTGATTAGTGATTAGTAATATATCGACACGTGAACAAAGTAAGGCGCGAAAATTATCTAGAAAGAGTTTACTGTTCCACGACTCAACTCTTTCACACCTTTTTTTAAAAATTTGTTTATGCTGTTTGGGAAATACTTTGTTTTTATGCCATTTGGGAAGTTACCGCACTTTTAACTCAATCTGCCTGTGAAAAAATTTTGATGGGAACTCTACAAGCTTAATATCAAACTAAAGCAGCCTGGGTTTTTTCATTCTCCAATTTGTGTAAGTGAACACCTATTGAAAAAATGTCAACAATGAACGCTAGGAAACAAACTTTTTAAATGAAAAAATCCGATTGTTAAATTCTAAAAATTTGTATGCTCTTGAAGATCTTCCGATATCAAGAACAATTTTTAGGCAATTTTTTATCAACTTAGCCCAATTCGAGAAAACTGTATCATGAGATATATGTTATTCTGTTATTCAGCTGTCAAATCTAAAAATTAAGTTCCACTTATGAAACAAGTCAATTAAGTTTTTTGTGACTTAACACTTTTGCTGTTCGATTACAGAGTTTGCCTTCCTTTTAACAAAAAATGAGCAAAGAAATCAAATTAACAGCGGGAAAAATCGAGTTTGAGTCGAAACAATTTTAATGTTTTCTACTGAAACAAAATGAAACATCACGACCTATACAGGTGTCTCCACTGCGCTCATTATAAATCTTGAAAAAAGGAAGATGGGTGCCCAATGTTTACACCATATTGTTTTGCCCTGATATTTGCTTCCTTATTTAAAGGTGAACGACAAGTAGTTTAAAGTTTTGATAACTTTTTGTTTCACATATTGTCTTGCCCCGTCTTCAAAAAAAGTACGAAAATTGTTTTTTCACCGTTTTCCTTGCGATTTTTTGTAATTATAAAAGCTTTAGAAACATTGCGTGCTAGTATCGTGAACAGCAACAGGCTTGCATTTTTAGTTCGTAGATTTAATTCGTTGTCTTTTAATTCGTAGATTTTTAAATCTTCAAAACCTGTTTAACATCATTTATTAAATAATCAACAACAACAGAGTGGCAACAATATATCTCGCAACAGATTCGTAACGGAGATCACGTGTTTAGTCCGAGTCATGGCTGGCTAAATTATTGTGAATTTCTGTCGTAAAATTTCTTTAAATCAGAATTAGTTAGAACCATGACAGTAGCGGCAAGGTTAGTCCAAACCATACAGGTTATAATAAGCAGAAGCAGTCCTATAACTAGAATGAAGGTCAGCAGTGAGTTGAAGACGGAGTCATAAACTCCTTTTGAGTAGATTGCAGCCTCTGACTCCTTTTCTTCTCCTGAAGATGAGATTATATCAAGAGCACTGCGGGCCCTTGGTTTGGGTTTTCTCGCAAAAGGCTCTGCATCTTCCCAGTCAACTTTGACTTTGCCAGTACCTTAATTCACAACTAAATTTTTGAAAAAAATCAATCTAGAGAAAAATCCACTTCTTGAGATATTTTTTTTGTATTACATTAGCTAGATAAGGGGATCGGAGCTTCAATTTCCTGCAATTTTGAAGCTTTGCAGTGGTTTGTCCCAATTTAAGAGACTTTTTTCTCATTAATCTGCCCCTGAGGTGACAATTTGTACCAGGCGACAGTTCGTAACAGGTGAACATTCAGAACAAGCGTACTAAAAGATTTAGCGGAGAACACTGATTCACGCGCACTATTCCTCTCGTGTCAGATGTAAGGGCGGCGGAGCAAGCGTATATTTCTTGCCAATGTCAAAAACGTAATATTTATGCTCGGCGTGGGTTTTTTTAATCACTCAATTTTTACCGATCGAAATATTAATTTTCAACAAAAGTTTATACCCCATTGAAGATATCGACTTCCTGAGTTTAAATGTAAAAAGATATTTCACCTCCGATGATTTTTTGTAAGGTTCTGGGGGTTTGAAAATTGCCAAATTTGCTATGTTCTGGACTATATTATGCGCGCTTTGAACAGTTTATTCATAATGCTGGGAGCGTAACGCGAATTATTTATGCGTGGCGGATTATACCGCACAAGAAAATCGTTCCAAATTGAATTGAGGCTAGCTACTTGGTCGTAATAATTTCGTACGACTCAAAATTTTACACTTAGATTTTGTCCAAAATGTATTGGTTTTCAATTTTTTCTTTTCCCAAAAACTATTCGATATGAATTAAAGGACAGTCAAAACGTTGAGGGTTACCCTGATATACAAGCAGTCTTGTTACGAATTGTCGCAGTACCCAATCTGCTATATCATTTGTGCTGGGAACTTGGCATACAGTGCTGATTTAAATTGTCCGGACAAAACTTGAATTTTTAAACGCGTTGTTCTCAATTTGGGTCAAGATTAGACAAAAAGTGAAGAGGAAAAAAGTTGCTTAGAAGTTCATCAGAATTAATATGGTGCAATTTTGTTCTCCAAAATTGTCAACCAAAATTTTACCCCAAAAATGGCTCATTTTGGCTATTTTCAACTAATCAAGAATTACGCTGAAACTACTTTGTTAATTGATAAGAAATAGATACCACAAGAAGCCTCTTACACAGCACAACAAAGCTCTAGGAGAGTTAAATCTCCAAAAAATTGAGTAAACTGTTTAAAATTTGTTTTTATTCAAAGATTTTGGGTTTTATATAGTAAAAGTCACCTTTCTTGACTATCAATATTTTCCCTTATATCTTTGGAGAATTAACTTTTCTAGAACTTTGTTGGGCTGTGTAAGAGGTTTCTTGTTATATATATTTCTCATCAATTAACAGAGTAGTTTCAGCGTAATTCTTGATTAATTGAAAAAAAAACAAAATAACCCATTTTTGGGGTAAAATTTTGGTTGTGAGTTTTGGTGAAAAAATTGCACCATATTAATTTTGATGAAGTTCTAATCAAATTTTGTTCTCTTCACTTTTTGTCCAATTTTAACCCAATTTGAGAGAAAGGTGTTTGAAAATTCTAGTTTTGTTCATTTTGTCCGGATAATTCAAATCAGCTTTGTATACACTGAGAGTGCAGGCTGATTTTTAAACTTATGATAGAGTTTAGGATTGATTGCCGAAAACAACTGTAAGCGTAGTGGACTTGTGCCTTTTCCCTTCAGTTTTTAGTCACTTGTGAGATTAACGGTTATTTTTAGCTACCATGTTGATTTTTAATCGAATTTTAGAATTTTGGAAGCCTGTTTAATATTTTTAACTGAAATAAAACTTGTCAGAGGAAATAAAAAAACTTATAACTAATTTGAACAACAGTTCTCAAATACAAAATGTAGTGAGCAATTTTTTGAAATTTTTATGTCGCAATTCTAGATAACGTGGTAAGGAAACTGGAAAAAAAGCCACTACTCTATACATTATTTAAAAAAGAGCCACTATTCCACGGATTATTCTTAGTTAGGCTGTAAAGCCTTTCATAGATTCTCTGCGAATTGCAGAAACGCCGATTAATAATTAATAATTACACTTACTTCCATATTCTGCTGGTGTTATGATGTAAGCGGCACAAATGAATGGCTGCTCACTATCCTCACAGTCTCCTCTGGCCTGATAGAGCGAACTCAGACAGCCGTATATGTCTGTTTCCGGGTACAAGTGCGATAGAGGGGTCATCGTGAGAAACTAACCGGGTACCTTATGTAAATGACTGCCTCAAAGTTGTTCAATTTAGTTTTTTTGGTGATATCAATTAATATATGGAATATGTAATCACAAATGAGGCAGGTTAGTTACTGCGAAAAAAAACTGTGAAATGACCAGCCGCTGCATTTTAATTTTGTTAAATGCTGTGTTTGCTTAAAATTAGTGTAATTTGGGACCCCTCTCTCGCACTTGTACCTGTTTCCGTCCTCTTCTCGGGCTCCCACGGCGCCCACATGGCCGAAAAGGCCACGTCTCGCTGCACCGAATAGAACACGAATCGCTGAGGTCCTCGATACAACCCCAGAAAGGGATCTTTTTGCAAATACAATCATTATTTAACAGATCCGGAGAGATATAAAAAAACAAACTCACTCAACTTGTGACTATACGTTAAAAACTCAAAATCACAGTTGATTTATATTTTGCAGTTGATGTTTCTGCTCATTAGCTAGTTACTACAGCATGGAATTTTGAAAAAAGACGCGGTTAAACCCAGATTTTGCCCCACATTTATTTTGCCCCACATTTATTTTGCCCCACATTTATTGCCCCACATAAATCTGCCTCTACGATTCAGAGGGACAAAATAAGTGTACACCCAGTAATCTAAGTGAAGTGATTAAAAATAAACAAAAAAAATCAAAAAAAATATTGATTGCTTTTGGTAGTCGGTCGGAGCTCAATTTTTCTGAAGTTAAAATTCTGAAGTTTATTTTTCCAACAATTAAAAATCATCAATTTCTTGCTTGTTCCGCTACAGCGCTTTATATGGAGCTAAATCGGATTTATTTTCTGCTAACAGATTGATGCTGTTCTCAATTCAATGACCGTGTAAAAGTTTTTTCGAAGTGTCAAAGTTTTTTCGAACCCTACTGCTTCCGTATTGTAAAAATGACTTGCTTTTTAGTTGCTTTTGCTCGTCGAAAAACAACCAATGAAACAACGACTTATTGTCGCCAACTTTTAATTTTGATTCTGTATTCTTACACAACTGGAAGAGCAATTTATATTTTAGGGATTCATTTATCATATCTGTACCTTCTTGCATCTCATTTTGTTTGGCCGCCTTGGTCAAAGCGTGCAATTCAGCCAGATTGAAACCGACCGCTAGATCATAGCCCCAACCTCTTCTGCCGGCGCAGTAGTTCCTGGCATCGTCGAAAGTCAAGTTCTGCTTCTCGATGTAAGCTTCGACCACAATTGAGACGCCATCGGTAAATCTGAAGAAGCCCTTTTCAACTAAACACAGATTATGTTGTCAGCCTAAGGCAACTTGTAAAGTGAATTATGTTAAGTGTTACCGAATGACTTGTTATTTTAAGGAAATGATGGTATACTACCTTATTTTGCTTATACTAAATAGGAAACAGAATAAAATCAAAACAAGCAAAAAAAAATCCAAGTTTTATTTAAAAAAATAGGAATGTTTCGTGATCTCGAATCTTTTTGAGTTTAGAGAATGTTATATGATGGAACTTTTTGCACTTCTGATTAGCGTAATAGTTTCCATCGTATAGATATCCAAATTATTTGTCAAGATAGCCATAACACTTGGAACCTTCAGTATGATCTTCGCAAGATTTTTCAAGGATCTGGGCAATATTAACAATCATCTTTGCAGGAAAAAAACATCAGTGAAAAAAACAGAGTTGTAGGCATCAGAGCTAGCGAATCGGCGCTAAAAGAACGTTGAGAAACCAAGTTTAGTTTCAAAACCTAACTGGTGGTAACAGTTAATTATGCTCTTCAAAATGTTCAGATCAAGTCACCGTGGCAAGAACTTGGATTGTGAAAAATGCGAAAATTAATTTTCTACGCATGTTTGGTCATGGTTAAGATGTCACTTGTTCATGGCGCTTGTCCAAGATCTTGCCAAGTTTCATGGATATCCTCTCAAGGTCTTGCCAGATCTTGTCAAGATATCTGCGATACTTGGATAAGCCAAGATACAATACTTTCCTAGTTCAAAACACTGGGCATTCAGTTGAAAAATAAAGCCATTAACTTCAATCAATAACTTTAAGGAGTGAGGTTTTACTTGTGAACGCTTATCAAGATAACGACAAGAAGTATATATAACCAACTAACATGTGATATCCACGAAAGTCGTGAAGGCTTCAAACTTTAAATACTTTGCGCAGAAGAAGTTTCTGGCACCTTGTTTGCACGATTTACGCTCGCTGGTTTTGATATCCAGACAGGCATAATCATAGCCAGGATCATATTTTGGCTCCCCTTGTTTCCAGTGGTCGAAATTCATATCTAGTTCTATTTTGCGACCTTCGTTCATGATTCCAAATTCTACTGTGGTCATGGCTTTTGAGTTCGCTTCAGTTCTCGTCATTCCGAGATGGGGGCGCCACGAGCTCCTGTTGTGAGACGCATGAAATTATACTTAGATAGAAACAACTATTTAATTTTTGTTTGTTTCTGTTGTATCATATTGAAGTCTTTTCAGCCGTGAATCGGATTCCAAAGAGATTTTTGAAAAGTGTGAAGTGTGTGCAGACAAAATAGAAAACTATGGTCGAATTTTTATGTTTCTTGCAATGCAACCGGCTGCATCTTTAAAAAACAATCTAAGACCAACCGCTAAAACAATTTTATTGGCGCCAAAGCATAACAACTCCAAAAAACTTACTTTGTGAAATTCCGGATTGTAAAATCTCACTTAATTAGATCAACTTCATTTTTTTTATTATTATTTAAAAATCAGAAAGTAAGCCAAACCTGTAGTAGTCCTGATCAAGCAAAAAATCGATCTCTTCAGAAGTGAAACCTATGGCGAGGTCAGCTGACTGTCCGAAATACCCTCCGTGGTCCTTGCAGTATTTGGAGGCATCATTAAATTTCAACTTGATGTTCCATTTAGGAATCGAATATTGTGCAGTTATAGTGCCAAAGGTATCTTCCCACATAATAACCTCGTCAAAATCTAAAAATAAGACTAAATTTTCATAAATATCTGACAAGGAATAGTTGTGTAATGTATTGCGATACGTGAAAGAAGCCATCCTAGTGAGTTTAAAAAAAAAGTTTCTGCTCAATTCTTTCTATCAAAGTTGAAAATCCAAAACAGATGGTTGGAAGAATGCAGACGAACTCGAGGAAACAAAAAAAAGTTGCTATTTTCCAATTGTGAAAAGAAAAATATTACTTTGAATATCTTTGATTTTCAAACCCTGTTTGTGATCGGCCCTTTCGAAATTTTATCTCATATAAAGAACACTCGAGAATTAGGTAATTTTTTAATTCCGGTGAGAATTCAGAAAAGTAAAGTCTACTTTTGAAACTAGAAGTCAATCACGTTTTTTGTGAATTTTAAATTTTTGCAGTTCGATAGTAGGCTTTGCTTTTTTTAAAGCAAAAATATTGGAATTTTGAACAAAAATTGTTAAATAACTGCGAATAATCATGTTTGAGCGCAAACAATCTTCAAAAATACGGATCTTACTGTAAAAAAAAAGTTCATCACGATTTACATTTGTGAAAGTCACTTCGTTTTTGTGTTCTAATAAAAAAATTGAAGTTTGTTTGGATGGTGCACAGTTAATTAGTGAACAACAAAAATATACTTGGAAAAAACCAATGTAAGCAGTGGCGGGCGCAGAAATTTTTCTGGGGTGTGGTTTTACGAAAAACTTTGATTTTTTTTGCGGACTTTCTTTAGGTCGATCAGTTTGATTTTCTGAGATCTCCGAAAAAATTCTAAGGACCTTAAATTGTCAAAAATTTTCTGCGCCGCAGGAAAATTTTCAAAAAAAAAACAGGTAAAGAAGGCGGTTTTAGGCTTTTTTGGAATATATTAAGCTTTTAGAAAAAACTTGGCAACCAAAATCATTAAAATTGAGGGGAAAGCGGGCAGTTGAGCCCCCCCCCCCCCACAGCGACACGTTACTGTACTCAAGTAAGAATTCAAAATTAAGAAAATTTATGACTTGTTTTTTTGAAAAGATTTCAAGTTTTGATTTTCCAAGAAAAAATAGATGGCCTTAAACCTTTTTGAAATACTAAATCAAGTGATGATTGACACTCTTTCGTGATGAGTGTCAATCATCACTTGATTTAGTATTTATTAATCAAGTGATGATTGACACTCACAATTTAACCCATATTGTGAAAACTGGTTAAAGAGGTAAAAAAAATTCAGTGGAAAAAATGATAATTAAGTTCAGTTTTCGAACTTTCAAGTCAATAACGTTTTCGATCTTCGAAGTTGTCCTCCTTTTAAAAAAGGATATGAAGTAAGTTCTGACATTCGAGTCATTAAAAAAATAAATTTTTAGCTCGAACAAATTTTCAATTTTTGGGACTTTTCCTGAAAAAACCAAAAAAATATCATTGCGACCTATATAATACCCTGAGCAGAATAAGAATCAGATTTTGGATAATCAAGAGAAAAAAATTGTTTATGAAAAGCAAAATTATGAATGCTACAAGTGCTCTCTGAGTTTTTTGTGCGTTTTGGTTAAAATTTCAAAATAATTGAACGCCAGCAAACCAAATTCTCCAACCTTCAATCTAAAATAATTTTTTTTCCCGAATAATCGCGATTCGATCCCAGTCTTACAGACTTTTAGGTACTCATTTGAGTGTAAATAGGGTTTTATTGGGCTTGGATTTAAATGGATTATTGAAAAAATTGAAAATTCAATCTTTCGAACATGTGAACATGTTTTGAACAAGTGATTACCCGAAAAAAAAATAACCAGAAGAAAACCTTTGAAGGTATTTTTTTTGTCATCAATAGGAAAAATTATTTGGAACTAATCGAAAAGTTCAATGAATTGATTACTTTTTTGAGCTGGATTCAGATAGATTGACAATGCAGATTTTTTTACAAAGGTACAAGCATTTTCGGTTAATTGTCGTTATCCAATGAAAATTTTCCAAAATGACCTGCTTCATTTTCTTCAAATTGACCCGCGTTTTTCAAAAAACAGTAGTGCTATCTTGAATGGGTTTTCAAACTTTTATTACGAGCGCACTTTGTTATTTTCGTTCTTTTGATCATTAATAGTTTTTGGAATGCTGAAACAGTTTCTGAATAAGTTAAAATTCAATTTTTTCTCCCCAAATCACTTTTTTGAGTTTTTTTTTCATAATTGCCATTACTTAAGCTGATGGAGCTTCCCTAGCAGTCCTCATTGAGTTTTAACTCAAAAGAAGGATAGTTATTATTGAATCGTGCTAAAAAAAATACATGTAATGGCATTTGTTTTCGCGGAGTCTCGATAAGGCATTTTTATTTGGTCTGCTGTTAATAGACTCAGATTTCTTCTTTTTATGCTGAAATATCGGTCAGTAAAAACTCTTGCAAAAAATCAAAATAATTTTATATCGCCCTTTCCACGTTTTTGCCGAGCGTAATTTATGTTCCGCTTTGTTAAAATTTAGATTTCGTGTTCAAAAAATCTGACAAAAAAACTTTCTTTCATAGAAATCTTTTCAACCCAGACGAAATTCGACCCAGTCAAATTCGACTAGAAAAACTTCATTACTTTCATTACTACTTAAACAAGGCATGTCATAGTTGTTCGAGGCAAAAGTGGAATTGTCAAGACTTTTTTTCGCTGTAACTTATGTGTAATAAGTAGCAAGCAAACTATTCCCCCGCAAATGCTTTCATTGTTTGTCTAAGCTCAATAGTTTTTAAATCCAAGACTTCTTGAGACAAACTTAAGCGCAGTGAGTCACGTTAGTTGAAACTTCGCTCTTTCTTAACACAAGCAACTAGTTTTTTTTTCTAACTATCTAATTCTATTATCTACATGAAAAAAGCTCAAAAGCTAAATTACAAATTATGATTACACAATGAGGGTTTTTGAGAAGAAAAAATAATCATTTTTTTCGGAAACAAGGTTATTTTTTTTGAAAATTTTGCAACTGTGTACCAGATTTTTTCACTGTTGAAAATATTGTTCGTCATCTCCTGAACTCATCTCTCAATCATCTGTTAGAAATACTGCTTAAATTTTGAGCAAGATAACTTTTGAAAAGTCCGTCCATTCAAAATTTGTTTGAAAAATTTGTTTTTGAAAAATCCGTCCATTCAAAGTGTGTTTTGAGGGGCAAGGGGCTTCAAATATTGTTAATAGCTTTGAACTTGTTCTGCTTGAAGTATTTCCGGTTCTTTTAATGTGTGGTAAGTTTTCTTCCAGTGCTAATTTCACTTTATACTGTCTTGGTTTATATACTTTTTTAATATTAGCTTTATTCACCTTGATCGATTTAGTTTTTTTTGGCATTTTCAATTTTTTTCTTCCCAGTTTGTTACATTTTTTCCTTTTTTCCATTAATCCGTTTTTACTGAACAGATTTTTAATTTTCTCAGTCATTTTTTAAAAAATTTACTTGAATAATGTGATGTCACATTTTTCAGTTTAGTGTCAAAAGCTCTGAGAATGCTTGAACAACTAAAATATAATCCAAAAAATAATACGGATTCGAATGACATATATTATTTCATCCGTGAATAAAGATTCATATCAAAAATTTGACGCGGAAGTCATTTTTAGTTGAGGATTCCGCAGGCTAGATATGATACCGTATTTGGCGCGGAATCCGTCTCCAGCTGAAGATCAAAAAACTTTTAATTAATATATCCTAAAATATCATCTGATCAGGCCTAAAAAAAACGAGACTAAGAATTGAGTTCATCGCTTTAAAAAAAAACTGTTTTCTTTGCCATTATTTAGATTCACTGAACACAAAAAAAAAACGGAAAAAAAGATATATTTTCTTTTGATTTCATGTCGCATGAAATGTCAATTTTTAAAAATCTGTATTTCACTTTTTTGACTGCGGAAAACAAAGTTCTAAATTTGAGCCATAATATGTCAAAATAAATTTTATTCAGTTGTAAAAATCTCGTTGGCAACAAAAATAGCTTGTTTTTTTCATGAAGGATAACTCGAACGAATGTCAGTTTTGTTGTAAGTAAATCGATATGCCATATGAACTTTGGTGAATTTTGATGCCGATGAACTTTTCTGAACTACTTTTCAAAAATTTTAAATCATTTTCAATTTAGCTTTACCAGAGAAAATTCGCATTCAAAATTCACTTAAGGGCGTGTTTTCAATAAATTTTAAACGCATAAGCCCCCTAAATGGAAATTTGAGCTCTTGAGTTGATTGAGGTTAAACCATCGCTAAAAGGTAACTCACATTCGTCAAAGCTGTCGCCATCGCTCTGTCTGACCTTTCTCGAATTATTCGACATTTCGTCTGTATTACCGACTTCAAGTTCGTTTTCAAACGTCATTGGCTTCATTTTTTGACCTTTAGTGTCATCATCATCGGCAACTCTACCGTTATTGGCGCCATTTGAGATTGCGCTTTTACTTTGAGGGAGAATTTCCAACTGCCCGCTTGGGTAGCATTGCGTCTTAATATACTCAGTTAAGTCGGCCCAGCTATTGGCTTTGTGGCGTGGAAAAAATTTACTGCAGCAAGATAGCGGATAGTCTCTTTCTGAAAACACACAATGATTACTCAAAAAGTTACTCAGGAAAACCTAAATGGCCTACTAAGCAATAATACTTCCGATGAAGCCCAGCCAGATTTCGGTCACGTAAGTTTGTCTTCAGTGATTTTTCATACTTTTTAAGAATTTGTACAGAAAAAGAAGTTATTTCATTTAATTCCTTTTGGTTTACAGTTTGAGAAAATTATTTCTTGGTCAATAAATATTTTCGTTAAATGTCACAATGATAGTCATTGGAAAACTGAAAGGAAAATTGTTTTTGATACCTCTGTGAGCTCAGGGAAAGCAGCAATAATGATTCAGAAAACAATAATTCTTCTATTTCACCGTTTTCCGCTTATAACAGGGTTAAACGCGACGTTTTTGTAGGCCAGAACTTTATCGATAATATGGGAGGAAAAAGAGCAAAATTTGGACATTTCTTCACCTT